ACTGAGGCTTGCCCTCAGCCAACCCACAGAGATTTTTCTCATTTCACCTTTCCAGGCTCAGAAGGAGGATGTTGTTGTTGTTGTTATGTGCCGTCGAGTCGCTTGCGACTCATAGCGACCCTATGTACAACAGCTCTAAACTCTGCTCTGTCCTGTGTCAATCTCACTGTCTCCGACACTCATCCCTATTGCCCCAGTCACCAAATCAATCCACCTCCCAGAGGGCCTTCCCCTCCTGTGCCTTCCCTCCACCCTCCCAAGCATGATGTCCTTCTTGAAGGACCGGTCTCTCCTTACAACATGACCAAAGTATGTCAGACGAAGTCTCAGAATCCTTGCCTCCAAGGAGCAGCCCGGTTTAACCCTCTCTAAGAGGAATCTGTTTGTTTTCTTAGTAGTCCATGGTACCCTCAGCACTCTTCTCCAACACCAAAGCTCAAAGGCATCAATTCTCCTTCTATCCACCCTGGTCATTGTCCAGATCCGTGGCCTGTACCAGATGCACCTTAGTCTCCAGAGACACACCGTTGCTTTTCAGTACTTTAGAGAGGTCCCTAACAGAAGACTTTCTCATCACAATAAATCTTTTAATTTCCTGGCTGCTGGTATCAAGAGTGTTGATTGTGGAGCCAAGCAGACTAAAGCTGTGAACAGTCTCAATCTCTTCACCATCCATCCTGATGCTGCCAATTGGTCCAGTGGTGAGAATCTTTGTCTTCTTGACATTGAGCCTCAATCCATATTGAAGGCTGCTGTCCCTGACCCTCAGCAGCAAGCGCTTCAGGTCCTCCTCAGTTTCAGCAAGCAGGGTTGTGTCATCCACAATAACGCAGACTGTTGATAGATCTTCCACCAATCCTGATGCCACATTTCTCCTCATAGAGCCCAGCCTCCCGGATGATCTGTTCTGCATACTGGTTGAAAAGGTATGGAGACAGGACACATCCCTGGCGTACGCCCTTCCCAATTTTGAACCATGCAGTGTTTCCTTGCTCTGTTCTGACGACTGCCTCTTGGTTCAAGTATAGGTTTCGTATTAGCACGATCGATCAAGTGTTCTGGGATTCCCATTCTTCTCAGAGTCAGCCACAGTTTGTTATGGTCCACACAGTCAAATGCCTTTGCATAATCAATGAAGCACAGACAGACATTCCTCTGGTACTCCCTACTTTCAGCCAAGATCCATCTAACATTAGCTACAATATCCCTAGTACCACGACCCCTTCTAAACCCAGCCTGGACTTCTGGCAGTTCTCTGATAATCTTCAGGATGAGAACTGTGAAAAGCTGGGGAGGGTATTCTGTGGGATGCAGCGCCTGCAGTACCACCTGCTTGCACCAGAGGGCCTCTTAGGATCATATCTGTAATGAGCTCCGGAGGCACAACAGCCCTTCTGATAGTATTTGCAGACGGCTGAGGGCTTACTTTTCACCAAGTCATGCAAGAACATGTACTGGTTTTCTTGTCAACACACATATAGTGCATAAAATACCTGCAAGGGATCTGCTTCATGCTCATGGTGGTCAGGTTAAGGGGCAAGGGTGGTGCTGTTCCCAAATTATTTAGTTCTAACTTGTACTAAAGCAAACAGTTTGAATCTGCCAGCTGCTCTACAGGAGGAAGACAGGCAACTCCTGTGCAATTTACTACCTCCAAAAGCCGCTGGGGTGTCGGCTATGAGACAGTTCCTACTTCATGCTACACAATAACAACAACAACAATTTCAATAGCTCACTTGCCCAGATCAATCTAATTAAGAAAACAATTTTTCTTAAATTCTGGCCCAGGAATATTTTTGTACTTTCCCCTTTAAATATGAACTCCTTAATAATCTGACTTTAATCACCTTCATTCTTCACTCCATCTATCATGATGTTACCCTATTGGCCCAATGGTGAGCTTTTATTTTCTTGATGCTGAAATGGAATCCATGTTGAAGGGTGTGGTATTTGACCTACAATAATCACCTCAGGTGCTCAGTTTTAGAAGCAAAGTTGTCATCTGCATACTGCAGGTTGTTGATGAGCCTTCCTCCAATTCTGATACCACATTCTTCTTCATAGAGTGCAGCTTCTTAAGTTATTTGATCTTCATACAGACTGAATAGGATGGTAGAGGATAAAGTCCTGAGGTGTACCTTTTTTGGTTTTAAGCCATGCACTGTTCCCCGGCTCTGTTCAGGCAACAGCCTCACCGTCTACAAAATGTTTCACATTTAATTTCAGAGCACAATTAAATGTTCTATGAACCCCATTCTTCTCAATATTATCCACAACTTGTTAAAATCCACATAATCAAAATCATTTGCATAGTCAATAAAACACAAATAGACATCCTTCTGGTAGTCCTGTTTTGAGACAAGATCAATCTTAACATCAGCAATGATATCCCTGATGACATGGACTCTCTGAAATCCAGCTTGAACATCTAGCAGTTCTGTCAATATATTGCAATGTTGTTTTTATGTGCTGTCAAGTCGCTTGCAACTCATAACGACCCTATGTACAACAATAGCTCTGAAGCCTATTCTATCCAATTTCCTTGTCTCCTAGCCAATTTCGTTGTCTCTGACAGACCTACACTCCCATTACCTCCATCACTCAGTCAATTCATCTTATCCAGAGTCTTTCTCTCTATGCTGTCCCTCCACCCTTCCAAGCATGTTGTCCTTCTCTAAGGGCTGGTCCCTCCTGGTAATATGCCCAAAGTATGTGAGACAGAGCTTTGAAATCCTTGCCTCCAAGGAGCAGCCTGGTTTCACCCTCTCCACGAAGACCTATTTGTTTTCTTAGCAGTCCATACTCTTCTCCAGCACCATAACTTGAAGGCATCAGTTCTTTTTCTATCATCCTTAAGTCATTGTCCAGTTCTTTGATGCATAGCAAGTAATTGCAAAGACCATGGCCTGGATTGGGTGCACCTTAGTCTCTAGACTGGTATCATTGCTCTTCAGTACTCTGGAAAGGTCCTTGATCCTGATAACAGACTTTCCCAATGCAATTAGTCTTTTGATTTCCTGGCTGCTGGTACCAAGTGTGTTGATTGTGGAACCAAGTAAACTGAAGCTGTTCACAAATCTCAATCTCTTCCTAGTCCATCATGATGCTGTGATATTGTGCAATAACTTCAACATTAATTTGGATCACCCCTGTTGGAATGTGGACAAATATGGATCTTTTTCCAGATATTAGCCAGGTGGCTGTCTTCAAAATGTCCTTTCATAGACTGATGAGCGTGTAAAGAGCTGAATCTGTTTGTTTAAGTATGCCAGTTGATACCTCATCAATTCCTTGGACATTATTTTTCAGTCAATGCCTTCAGTGCAGCTTGAACTTCTTCATCACCATTAGTTCTTGTTCTTATGTTACTTCCTGGATTAGTTCCATGTCAGTCTATTCTTTTTTGGTATAGTGACTATGTGTTTTCTCCAGCTTCTTCTGATGTTTCCCGGATCACTCAAGATTTTGCAGATAGCATCCTTCCATATTACAACTTGATGCCTGAATTTGTTTTTATAGTTCCTTCAGCTGGAGAAAAGCCAAGGAAATTCCTCCTTTTTCATTTTCTGACTCAAACTCTTTGCACATTTCATTGTAATTCTTGTCTGCTGTTCATCTCCTTTAATGTCTGATTTCTTCCCTTTGGTTTGGCTTCTCAACCCTTTAGTGCAATTTTCAGAGTTTCTTCTGACATCCACTCTTGTCTTTTCTGCCTCTTCTATCATTTAATGACCTTTTGCTTTCTTTATAGATGATACCCTTGTTGTCATTCCACAGCTCATTTGGTCGTTGATCATTAATGTTTGGTGCCTCCAATCTATTTTTTCCCCTGAATCTATTCTTAAGATGCTTCCCCCTCTTTTTTTAAAGTTAGGTGGGATTGATTCGAACTCCTGTGTAGTTCTGCAGTTTACTGCTGCTGAAACCCCCTGAAGGGCCAGCTATGTGTCAGTTCTGATTTAAAGGCAAATAACAACAAAAACAAGTCTAAAATAGCAACAGACAAAAGGAACACTTTCACTGAAAATCCTACCCTGTGAATGATCTCTGCCTCCTCTGAGCTTTCATTACATCTGATGCTCTCATCCACTGCCTTGTTTGGGAGGCTACTATTATTTCTTTATTGCCAACTTCTGCTGCACCTAAGACAGGACCCTCCATAGAGGAGGCTTTGAAACTAACCAAATAAATAAATAAATAAAGGTGGCCTTATGTGCTGTGAAGTTGACTCCGACTCCTAACCCAAGTACAACAGAATGAAATTTTGCCCAATTTCTGCACCATCCTCACAAACCTGCTCCACTCAGACCCTTTGTTGAAGTTCACTATGTCAATTCATCTCCTTGAGGGTCTTCCTAGCCTGCAACAACCCTCCTCCTTTCCAAGCATGTCTTTGTCCAAGAACTGGCCCCTCCTGATAGGCAGTCTAAGACATGTGAGATTCTCACCATCCATGCTTCTAAGGACCACTCCGGCTGTCTTTTGAGTTGCGGTGTTGGAGAAGAGTGCTGAACGTCCCATAGACTGCTCACTGAACAAATATGGTTTGGAATAAGTGCAACCAGTCCGCTACTTAGCAGCAAGAATAATGAAACTTTGTCTCATATACTTTGGGTATGTTGTTAGAAAGTGCCAGTCCTTGGGAAAGGACATCATGCTTGGAAAGGCAGATCAGTAGAGGGGAAGACCCTCAACAGGATGGACTGATACAGTGACTGCAACAAATGGCTCCAAGTATAGGAGAGATGATGAAGAAAGGGCAGGGTTCAGACAGGGATGCTGTCGACTCCACAGCACATACCAACAATGTATCTAAGGGGTGGCATCGACCATAGAGAAGTGGGAGGCTAACCCATAGGTGGCAGGCATCCAGCGGCTCGGCAGGACAAAGGTGGACAATGTCTCTCTGTGATGCAGAGCCTCTGAAAGCCCGTGCAGAGCGAGCTACCAGTTCGACCAGGCACCAGTGCGTTTTGCGATGAGTATCTAACGCATTTCACCTGGGCACTGCGTTCCTTCGCCTTGGTCTGTTCCACTCTTCTCTCTGCAAACACAACATGCGGGTGCTAGGTGGGAAGCCTGACTGAGGCCGGCGTGAGCCCATCTCTCCGTCCGGCCCGGCGCGGGGCCCTTCTGCGGAGGTGACGGCGGCCGTGGCGCCCCGGCCTCTCTCGGGGTTCCGCCCCGTCGGGCCCCTTGGTCCGCCCTGCCCCGCTCGGCCACGCCTCCACTCACTCTCCCGCAGGCGGCGCTTGAACGCGGGGTCACCGCGCCGCTTCCGGTCGAAATACACACAGTAGCCGAGGAAAGCGACTACGACACCGGCTGCCAGGAGGCCGAGGAGGGTGCGGACGCCGGGCATCCGGCCGCCGGCGCCCACGAGCCGAGCGTTAGGCGCGGGCTGGCGAGCGTGGGTCCGCCCGGCCGGCAGGGGGCGTCGGTCGGTGTGGCGGCCCCGCCGCGGCCCCCGGGCGTCATGGCGCCCAGCGTCCCACCTCACGCTGAGGCTGCGGCCAGGTGAACAAAACGAGGCTCAAACAGGTGAGCAGGAGGTACCCCAGGCATGCCGCGCTCTAAACGCCGAACCCCGTTCACAGATATGCCCCCACCAACTTGAGAGTCCGCGCCTGGTAACGCACAGAATTCCGAGGCCGCTCCGTAGCCGGAGGATCCTTCCTCAGGCTTCTTCTGTTCTAGCTGCACAATGAAGTCAATGTTAGGGCCACTTCCCAATTCACAACGCTGCTCACTGAGCGCCTAGACCGAAGCCCCATGTGCCTTTTATTACCAGGAAGGACCCATTCTTAAGTCCTCAACTGCAGTTTTATCCCCAACCTGAAAGGTAACTTTAGTTTTGTAATTGAGAACTCTTGCTATTCTCAACACCGACTTGTACACACAAGCAGAAGACATTACATCCAGTCACTCTTGGCACCAATAGCCAGGAAATTAAAAGGCGCATTGCCATGGGAAAGTCTGCTGGGACCTCTCCAAAGTACTGAAGAGCAATGGTGTCCCTCTGGAGACTAAAGTGCGCCTGATACAGGCCATGGTCTTCACAATCACTTGTTATGCATCAGAGAGTTGGACAATGACCAAGGAGGACAGCAGGAGAATTGTTGCCTTTGAGCTGTGGTGCTGGAGTATTGAGAGTACCACGGACTGCTAGGAAAACAGATTCAACCTGGAGAGGGTTAAACCGGGCTGCTCCTTGTAGGCAAGGATTCTGGGGCTTCATCTGACATTAATTTGGACATGTTGTGAGGAGAGACCAGTCCTTGGAGAAGGACATCATGCTTGGGAGGGTGGAGGGACAGCGCAGGAGGGGAAGGCCCTCTATGAGGTGGATTGATTCAGTGACTGGGATAATTGGGATGGGAGTGTCGGAGACAGTGCGATTGGCACAGGACAGAGCGGAGTTTAGGGCTGTTGTACATAGGGTCGCTGTGGGTCGCAAGCGACTCGACAGCACATAACAACAACAACAACCCTTACACGTGATCTGGAAGTTCCACAATCGTGATTCTGATTATTCCCAAAGATCTTTTCTAGGCTGATTGCTCTTACCTTCCAATACTGTTTGCCTTCGGCCCATTCCCAACCAAGCAATATTAGTCCCATGGAGATGAGTGAGCCAGGGAAATTAGCAAAACTAGGTTAGGAGTTAGCGGACTTGGATAGTAAGCAATGACCTATAAATGTAGAACTATTACTGCAAAAATGTGTTGTTGACCCTGTGGATCATAACTATGACTAACACTGCGAGAAGAATCCCAGAACACTTAACATTCATACAAAACCTATACCTACACCAAGAAGCTATTGTCTGAACAGAACAAAGGAACACTGCATGGTTTAAATGTTAAGAAAGGTATGTGTTGATGTTTTATCCTTTTTTCATACCTATTCAATCTGTATGCTAAGCAGATTATTTGAGAAAAACATGGCATCAGGATTGGAAGAAGACTCATCAATAACTTGCATGATGAAGATGATATTTGCTCATTGAGGACTTGAAGCACTTGTTGCAGAAGATGTCACATGACAGCCTTCAATATGGACTGCATCTCAACATCAAGAAAACAAAAATCCTCACCACTGGGCCAAAAGGCAATGTCATGATAGATGGAGAAGAGATTTACATTTCCAATAATTTAATCTTATTTGGATCCACAACCAATACACTTGATTCCAATTGTCATGTTGCACTGGGAAAAGTCCACTGTCTAGGATCTCGCCAAAGTACTAAGAAGCAATGATGTCAGTTTGAAGACTAAGGTGCATCTTATAATTAAGGCCATGGTCTTAGCCAGATGGTCTTTAGAGGCAAAGATAGCAAAAATTCATCTCACACTCTTGGGCATGTTGTTAGCATAAGTTATTCCTTGGAAAGAGACATCATGCTTAGAAAGGTGGAGGGTCAGCAAAAGAGAGGAAGACCTTCAATGAGATGGATTGACAAAGTGACTGCAGCAATTGGCACAAGTGTGTGAGAGATGGTAAGAATGGCACAGGGTAGGTCAGAGTTCAGATCTGTTGCTCATAGGGCATGTAACATTACAACAAATGAACAGATTACTGAAGTTAAATGACTACTTATTACATCCAATAGTGAGGACAAGTAATTAAAAACTTTTTTCAAGCAAGTTAGATTTTCTTCTCAAATGTAAGCACCACTTTTAATTATTTGAATTCTGATCTGTGATTGGAATGCCTATAAAACTGGCCATGCTCTTTATTATGTGGAGGAAATGCTCTTCTATTTTCACTTTGCTGGCTTTTCATCAGGAGTGGATGTTGGGGTACTGCTATCTGGATTTTCATTTAGAGTTTGTTCATTATATTAGACTTTGACATACCAAAATTTTCCTGCATATAAACCCCATTTGGCCTATACTGCATTATCCTTTTACTATGCCTTTGGCTGTATTTCCTAATGTTTTTATTTGGAATTTTTGCAAAAATGTTCATGAATTATATTGGATTTTGGTTGTTTTGTTTCCCCCCACCCCTCCCCTTTTCTTGCTGTCTTTGTCTGGATCTAGTTATTTAAGTGACTTTGGGTTTGGGTGCATCTGATCATTTCTTAGCTTCTTAAGGTTTGCTTTTGTTTTTTTATGCTCAACAAACTACAAGTAAATTTAAAATGCACTTTTGTTCATTTTTCCATATTTATATATACATGAAGCTACCACTACAATAATGAGCATTTTCATTGCCCTCTAGTATTCTTGGGGTCCTTTATAGCCTCTCCTGCCTCAACTCTCTTTTCATTTTTTTCCACATCTTTGTTTGCTATTATTAATAAAACTATCATGTGTGGACTTAAGGTTTCATTTCTTTTGGGTAGAGCATGATTGGATTATCTGTTGATTGAATGCTTAACTTTTTAAAAGAAATTACCCAACATTTCTGCAAGTAGTTGTATTGCTTTGCATTGTTACACATTTTCACACCACTTAGTAAAGTCATGGAGAAGATATTGGGGCCTGAGCATTTCTAGATTTATGAGCACAATCATGATTAAACTATTTGAAATCAGTAAATCACCTGAGCTCTTAAACCTCAAATTTCTTATCTACAAAATGAAAAGTTTAGAATCTGATTTGGAAAATTGAAACTAAACACACTCAAAGTTCAGGGGCATTTTTAAAAATCTTTTCGCCAACATTTAAAATGAGTATTCTCTTCATATGGTTCAACACTTAAAAAGTTACATAAGGCTAGAATGACTATTCTCCTAACTCGGTCCCTTAGCGCGTAAAGGCAACCAGTGTTCTCTAGGTTAATCTTTCAAGAACTCTTGCTGGTTTCCAACCTCTTTACCACCTGCCTAGAACTCTCCTGTATCAGGTATCATTTATTTACCTAGTTCAACAAGGATGAATAATCTGGTTAGTTCATTTTTTTTTATATGAACTGTGGTGTTGGAGGAAAATACTGAATAGCCTGTAGACTGCCCAAAAGAATGGGCCAATCAACCAGAACTCTCTGTAGAGCCAAGGATGAAGGGGATTCAACTTGCTTACTTTGGACCGGAATCAGGGATTACTAGCTGTTGAAAAGGACAATATGTTTGGTAAAGTGTATGATGAGGGAGATCCTCAGTGAGGTCGACTGGTACAATGGCTGCAGCATGTTCTCAAAAACACAAATGATCATGAAGAGTGCTTCTGACCAGCACCGTCTCATCTCACTGCACGTAAGGCTGCTGTGAGTCAAAGAAAACAGAAACCAAACATCCTATTCACGTTTAAACATGTGTTGTATTCTTAGGTGTCATGAGGTTGGCTCCACTCCATGGCGGCCCTTTGTACAACACTGCCCAGTCCTGCAGCATCGTCCAAACTGCTGCTGTGCTCATGCTCACTGCTACAGCCGAAGCCCCAATCAATCTGGAAGGTCTTCTCCTGTTTTGCTGACCCTTTGTTTTACCAATCATGCTTTTTCTAGAGGCGGGCCCCTCCTGACAACATGCCTCATGTCTGTGACACAAAGTCTCACCACCGCAGCTTCTAGGAGCACCCAGCTGCATTTCTAAAAAGACAGATTGTTCTTTTGGCAGTGCAGGATGTGTTCAATACTCTTCCCCAACACCACCATTCGAAGGCATCAATTTTTACTTATTCTTCATTCACTGTCCAGCTAACAGAAAATACCACAGAATGGGTGAAGTACATTGCTGTCTTCAAAGTGACATCTTTACTCTTTTCAATTTCAAAAGACCTTCTACATGATAGAGATTCCAAAAGCTTGAAATTATTAATGATATCAAAATGACAAACAGTGCTCTTTTTGTTCTGTTTTAATAGAAACATAAGTGAATTTGTATGAATATAAGGATTTTTTTTTCTTGGGCTTTTCACTGTGGAAAATAATATTTGAAGTTGCAGTACATTTAAAGTCTTTTTTAGAGAAGAGAAAAGACCTTCCTACTCTGAGAAAACACTAAGCATGTGTTCATTAGCAATTTCTCTTTAGTGCAAACTCCATTCAAAGAGTCACTCAACCTTAATGAAGACGGAAAGGGAATGCCAATGACACATACTATACTCATTCTGTAATGGGTTGAAAATGTGAGTAACCACATAAAAGCATTGAGAGAGGGAGAAGAAACGAGTACAAGGAAAAAGAATGCATCAGTTATTAAGAATATTGGGCGTTAGACTGTTTAACAAGTCTATTTTACGATTCACAAAAGCTAACATTACCATATGATAAAAACGTGCTCGCTTCGGCAGCACATATACTAAAATTGGAACGATACAGAGAAGATTAGCATGGCCCCTGCGCAAGGATGACACGCAAATTCGTGAAGCGTACCATATGATAAAAACTCTGAAGACCTCTTTTAAATATTGGCCATGTACATGAAGATCATGAGTGAAAAACAAACAACAATTCAGAAGTAATTATTCTCCACTATATCAGACATTGGCTTTGAACACCTATGTGCTGGATGGGGAGCTCTAGTGGTGTAGTATGCAGAAAGTTGCACACTGCTAACCCAAAGGTCATTCCTCTCCAGCAGTTCAAATCCAACAATGGCTCTGAGAGACAAAGATATACAATCTCTCTCACTCGATTTACAATTCCAGAAAAACCCACTGGAGTGTCAATTATGAGTCAGTTCTGACTGGAAGGCAATGAGGTGTACACTGCTAAAGAGTGGACCAGGAACTTAGCAGCAAGCACTTATGACTAAGCACTCAAGAACTATTCATCTTGTAGGGTAGAAAGACATACACAAGTAAACATAATACAAAATAAACTGTATGAAGTAAAAGCATACTCATTAAAGAAAAAATGTGCTAGGAGTACAAATTCTGATGGTGATTAAGAAGTCAGCAAAAATTAATTTGAAAAGTAGTTTTGAGCTAGTTCCAGGTAAGCAGGGTTAAGAAGGTTTAGAGAAACACATGGAAGAGACAGGTGGAAGATCTAGACAGTGCCTGAAAGGCTTGGGTCACCAGCTCCCTCCCTTCCCACCTCAGATCTAATTTTATCGTGGCTCATTAACACCAATCATTCTCTCCTCCCCCGTATTTGAAATACTACATCCTCTCCAGTCCTCCTACTTGTCTAGCCAATTCATAATTCTCAAATTCAAGTTTAAATGTCCCATTCTCTGCAAAAGCCTTCCTAGGTCATCTATGTTTTCAAACTAGTTGGGCTATGTAACTGTTGGCTCAAAAGAATTTCAGGTGCTAATGACATCTGCAGGGAGCTCATGTAGTCTAATGTAAGGACTTGCATTATCAACCCTAAGGCACACTGTTCCAATCCAATAGCTGCTTCACGGGAGAAAGATGTAGTCTCTTCCCATTTAATTTATAGCCTCTGAAAACCTGCCAGAGGGTCAACCATGAGTAGTTTCTGACTCCACAGCAAGCACCACCACAATCACACCTGCAGTTTAATAACAACATACTATTTAATATCCATCCCACTAGCTTAAACAGTCTATGAAGACAGGTTCTATTTTTGTCTTGTTCAGGGTTATAGCCTATGAGCCTGAGCACAATGCGTGACACATAAGAGGATACTCAGTAAATATTTCAGGAGTGAATTCTGTAATAAGTGGTATATATGGTTATAAATAGATTGTAACGCTTTCACAAGGTTGATACCAAAACCCAAACCCATGACCCTTGAGTTCCTCCGACACATTGCAACCATACAGGGTAGAGAACTGCCAAGTCTATCCATCTTTACAGAAGCAGAGCACCTTTCTCCCACATAAGGAGAGCTGCGTTGTATTACAGGATTTAAAGGAAGATATATAAACAAACTGATAGCTTAATCTGTATAGATTTCAGTTCTTTTACAGCAATTTCCTGGAGTACAGGAAAGCCAGAGACACAACACTAGAAACAATAACAATGCACACAATAGAAGACCAAAAAAATCTCCTAAATCCCTAAAATAACCTTCCATTTCTAGAAAGCAGACAGTAAAGAGAATCTTTTACCTGCACATGCAAGAGCTGTCCAGTCAAAACTTACCTAAACTCAAAGCTTAAAGTGTATATTTAAATGCCCCATATTTGAACTGACTACATATCCAATATTCACTTACTAAATCTCTTCCAGTTGCAAAGCAAAAGAGTTCTAAGTATCTTTATCCAAATTCAAGAAAGAATTGATTTTGTTCTGTAGCAAGGGCCTAGTACTTCATTCTCAAACTTATTAAAATTAGAAGGGACAATTGTTGTTGTTGTGTACCATAGAGTCGGAGGCAACTGACCCATAGCTGACCCTCCGGCAGGTTTTCAGAGGCAGTGAATTAATTACATGGGCAGAGACTGCCCATCCGTCTACCGCAGAGCAGGTGGTGGCCTTCAATCATGTGCCATTGGGACTGCAGTGCAGCTTCTAGGCACTAGGCTTAGCTATCTCAGCTTTACTGACAGAAAACATTAAAGTATCTAAGATACCAATGAATAGAGTTCCTTCAAATTCCAAGTGGGTTTGAATGACAATTTTTTTTCCTCATTTTTCTAATTAAGAGGTAGAAATATGGTATTATTTAGATAAAGACTCAAAGGTTTTACTTCATGAAGGCTGATTTTCCAACTGTTATTAGCACTTAGGACCAAATAAGCACGTAAATGATAACTAAAATATAAAACCTATGCTTAAAACATGGCCTTTATTAACATTGCCCACTGAGCGCCACTTTAATAGGACACTGCAATGCTCCTGCTTTGCAAAGACAAGACAGAAAAGTGCATTTTACAAGAGTACTTTTTTGTTTTTAATTCTCTGTGAAAATGGAAGGAATCTGAATCACAAGTTCACAATGTGGTAAAATGAAAATTAGGCAACAACAAGTTCAGTAATGCTGTGTCATCACTAGTATTGAGCTCTGACGGTGTTCTTGTCAATCAGATCCTGATGTACAGCCCAGAGCATCTAGCTGATTATATCATATTAAACACAGAAAAGGAGCTTTAAAAAAAAACCCCTTTTGATGTACAAATGAATTTAAAAATTGATTTTTTTAAAAAAATCACCTTTTTACATAATGTATATATGCAAAACTGCTTTTAAATACATGATTCTGGAAGAATTATTTACACAGTGTACCAGTCTGTGGGACAATTCACAGACAAAGCATACATAGTTGCTTTACTTAATTTGTTGCATCTCAACAGTGGGAGATAGGAATTTATTGGCAGTATAGCAAACATAAAAACTGACAAAGTATCTTAAGGGCAACCAAAACTTTGATCCTCAAACAGCTTAAATAACTAGGACTGCCAAAGTTTCTACATGAGGACGTACTTTAATGATCCAGATGCCTACAAACAGCACTGTTTGAAGGACTGAGCCAGACCCCTTCAGTACAGGCGAGGATATTGCACACAACCACCTGTAAGAGGGGCAGCAAAGAGCTACTGTCATCCAGAGAGTGAATTAACCTAGAATTTTCTTTTTTTTCCATTTTATTAATATTTTTAAAAATACATAAAAATACAACATCCAATGTCTGAATAAATATATTTAACAAGTTGCAAGATAATACCTTATTTTACACAAAATTTTCAGCTTTAGAAATCTTGTTAAATAACTTCATTGTTGTTATATATTTCATTTTTGTCTTTTTGTAACAAAATAAAAACTCTGAAATTACATAGAAAAAAGACAAAATATTTTTGTCAAGGGATAAGATAGTCCACTGAAAACTTATTCACAATTCCACTGTAAACATTAATAAACATTAAAATATTTGCATAATTGTGTGCTCAAAAATCCTATAAAAAGTGGAAGACTTTTGACAACTGTAGTTTTCAGTCAACTACACTTCCTTTCAAAATTTATTTTGTCCCATTTACACCTTTAAAACTGGGCACACTGCAGAACATATACTTTGGCAGTTCTAAATAGCAAGTGCTTCCACAAAGTAAAAAACAACAATTAAAAAAAAACAACAACAAACAACCAACAAAACAAAGACACACAACATAAACCCCCAAGTCACCAAGTGTTCAATACACTTCAGTGAAAGTGCAGCAGAAACTATTCAGCTCGACAAGATTTTGATGTTTACCATGTGCACCTGCTTGTCTACGAGTTCTATAATACCTGTAAGCTTTATTATACAAATTCAAATTAGCTAAGTGCCCTTTTTCTATATTCACAAAAAAAAGGGGGGGGAGAAATTATGACAAATATGGCAGGCTGCCTAACCTTCTTCAATTATTAATCAGCTTATATATTTTGCAACAGGAAGAAAGAAAAGAGGAAGGAGTCGATTCAATCCAGCCTGGGAAAGTATACAGGATATACTTGGCAATGTCAAACCAGTTGAGTGCTTTCTGTGGTTGTATTTCAGGATTTAGGGACTGAAGTCCATGGCAGCAAACTGCTGGGAAGGCAGAGAAAACATGTATCACCTGCATTCTACAGCAAGTACATTTTGTGGGGGAGAAGATGATGAGGGACTCATTCCAGTGTCTGACGAAGCAGATGACATGGAAGCTCCTGTGTGAGACACTGTGGAATCAAAACAACATTGTTAATCTCAAATGTTATTGCACAAAGCTATCCAGCCAAAGTTAAAATAAAACAAAAATATGGCATGAAGGCATAAACAAACTGTGCGCAAAAAATTTGGCTGAATAGAGTGATTCAATCTTTGGTTACTAAGTTATTACTGAAAACTCATCAGTTAAAAAAGACTTCATGAAGTAAGGACATACAAAGAAAAAATTCTTATATTGCTATTTGAGAGAGTGTGTACAGGAAATTAGCTTGCAAAAATAAAGCAGAAACACAAGATAAATTCTCACTGTAGGGAATTCCTCCTTTGTCTCTTAAAACCATAACGAAATTCACTTATCTCACAGAATTTCACTTAACAACCTAACCATTCCATCTTTATTCTGACACTAGTGACAATATTCCTATAGGCAACAATGGTATGAGGAATGAGATGGAAGTGCATGTGCACAAAAAAGGCATTAAATTGCTTTAATACTGCAAAAGACCACATGAAATGTGTACAGAATGATTCAGAGCAACAAGTGCTTTTGCCATCCTTTACTAGTTTTTCTTTCCTGCCTTCTTTGTCCAACTGTTCATTGTTTCAGATTAAGTTTTAATTTTTGGTTATTCAAGTATAACCACATGAGTATATGAATATGACTTGTAACTTTGTACAAATACTAATATGTATACTACAGAGTAACTTGATGGCTCAATTCAATAGCTCATTTTACATTAGAAAAATGTTAAGAAAAACAGGAAGATTATAATGAAAAAATTTTTGGTGGGCCAACATTCTGTCTTTGAAGTAACTGACTCCAAAGCAGCTGAGGATTCTGTGAAGCCATTTTATTAATTTGTTCTTCTTTTTTAGTCCTTTAAGACCTTGTTGATATTTGCAAATTTCCAAGAGTACATATATGTAAAATCTTCTCTCTCTCCATTTGTTGCATTGTATTTCATAGTTTTAGGAAGAGACTTACTAGGATAATGATTCAAGAGCTCTAATGACACAGGTCATTCTGCCAGAAATCCACCTATCTCTGCCACTGGGGAAACCTAAAAATGGCCAAACTTCAGAGAATTTATCAAGTCTATCTTTAAGCATCCCTCCCAGACTTCACCCACTTCCTGAAAATAGTTGCTTTCCAGGTCTACAACGCAATGGTCCTCGAAGCTCCATTCCCTAATTTCTGAGATCTTTCCTTCATGTAGGAGTCTGCATGTGTTGGATCCCATTTAACCTCTTAGTCTGGCTCTAGCTTTTAGTGCTACCATCAAGAAATCTTTCTGAGAAAACTAACTGTGTTAACTCTCACTTTTTCGAATCTTATCATAGGTTCATGATTTTCATGATTGGCCTTGACATGATTCCCAGTCCCTCATTCAGTATATGTGGCACAGTAAGTTCCTTTAATCTTCTAACCTGTTTATCCCTGAATTCTCAACTTTGGTGTTTTCTTTATTCTTATATTACAAATCCTTGTATTCATGGCTGACTTTCCATAAATCACAGTGAGGGAGACTGCTCTGCAACATATGAAACCCCCACCCAGAAGCAGGTTATCTAGGAATGGCTTGGCAACAGATTCCCCATGGATGTGCAGTATGTGATGGGTGAGAGGGTGGCTGCCTTTTCTGCTGATCCCCCTGAAAGATTTTCTTGTAAGATTTTTTCAAATGGCAAGTTGTTCTTCTGTTTCTTCAATGCTCTTGCGAGAAATCTTGATTCCTAAGTTGGACCTCCTGGCCATGTACTGTCCAGCTTTTATTTCTCGTTTCCTATTGTCTTATTAACTTTCTACTGGGATGACTTCAGCTTTACTGCTTCTTCTATTCTTTTATCTATTAAACTTTTAAAATTCCTGTCATTATATTTTTACATTTAAGAAATCTTTGTTGTTCTCCAAATTTTTACAATTACCATATTCTTCTTTAAAGGTCAAACAATCTTTTTTCCTTATGATACTAGTTATAGTTTTACAGCTTATGAATTTTCTGGTTTTCCTAAATTCTTTTTCTGTCTTTCCTACAGAGCTTTTCTCCAATTTTTGGTCATCTTTGGCTTTCATACTCAAGAAAATGATATTGAAAAGCTACCTGAAGCTGTGTGTAAGTAGGCAGGGCTTTCGGTGAGGGGCAGTGTACATGCGCTGACTGAATAAGGATTTTACCTTTTAGTCAAGAAACCTCTAAATTTTGGTATCTATGTCTAAGTTACTTCCTGTGGGTTGGTCAGTTATTTTTTTTCAAAAAGAAATCCTCCATTCTCCCAGAATTGAGCATCACTCAGTCATATTTTAAAACCAAGAGGGAAAAAGATCTTGGGTTGTGAATAGGAGTTCCATCAATCAACAAGCAAACTTTAACTTACTGGCATTATTTCTAGCTTAACATTTAACCTTCTCTTAGTACAGGCTGGTGTTTACAAGCCTAATGAACTCCCTGAACACTTCCCAACATCCTATCTTTTGTTAAGGTTCAGAAAAGACACAGGCTACTTCTCATGATGGAAGGAAAGAATTCAAATGATCCAACACTCTCAACAAACCTTTGCTTTTTTTAGTTTCATATCCCTGCTTTCAAAGGTACATACCTTTACTCTGTGTTTTTATGGGGTTATGCAGTATGAATTGGCTTGCCTCTTTTGTCTCACTGCAAATTTACGCTTGAGCACTCTTTAGTTGGCTGATACAATTACAATAGTCCATCTGTACCTCAGGTTCTAGATGGAATGGTGTTGCTATTTCTTTCCCACTGCAGTCACTAATCTGTCCCTTGCTCCTGTGGATCCAGGTCTATGAATTTCCTATACTTTTGTTACAGTGCGGTTCTGGAATGGACTGGAAAAGGAATATGGCTGTATAGTCAATATTACATAATTTATAGATCTAATTTAAACACCACATTCTCTCTATGATTACCTCGAGGAAATCTTGCTTCTACAAAACTTGCTTATTAACATCACTATTAGGGCCCTCATCATATACTGCCCTACTCCAATTAAAATCTTTGTACCTTAATTTGTCGAAGGTGGTTATTGTTAGGTGTTGTCAAGTCCATTGTGGCCCTAGGAACAAGACCTGACCCGTGCCCTATCCTGTGCCATCCTCACCATCTCTGATATGCATGGACCCATTGTTTGAATCATTATATCAATCCATCCTGTTGAAGGTCTTCCTCTTTTTCTTTGACGTTCAACATTTCTCAGCATGTCTTTTTCTAAATATATGTAAATACAGATATAGCCCTCGTATTTAAAAGTCGGTTGGGCCTGAGAGCCTAGTGTTATTTCATTTTGGAGGAACATTCTTCTAAGTTGTGCACTCTGCTGTCGATTTGATACGCTGAGGCAATCTGCGTTTGCAGTGATGCTGAACCTTGTGTCATTGGAGATCATGTGCCATAACCTTGTGCCATAATGGCTGCCCATGGTGGACAGTGTTTAGTGGAACTCACAGTTTAAGACAGATTTAGAAGAAGGAGTGGTAGCCACTTCCTAAACCATATGCCTCTGAAAACTCTATGAACTTGGAAAAACAGTAATAATTATAGAAAAGCTTCAGGCCTTTTGTTCACAGGGTCATTATGAGTCGTGCTCAACTCGATGGCATCATTATGAGTCCTGCTTGACTCGATGACAATAAAAAACAATACCAAGAAGTCCCTCCTGACAACATGCCCAACATATGTGAGATGATGTTTAATCATCATTGCCTCTAAGGAACACCCTAGTTGTACTTTCTTCAAGATAAGACTGTTCTTCTGGCAGTATGGGATATTCAGTGCTCTTCTCCAACACCACAATTCAAAGGCATTGATTGTTCTGTCATCCTTTTTCACTGTCCAACTTTCAGATGCACAAGAAGTAATTGAAATGACCATGGCTTGGATCAAGCACACCTCAGTCTTTGACAGCAGATTTTCCCAGTGCAACCCATCTTCTGATTTCCTGACTGCTGCTGCCACAGGTGTTGATTGTGGGTCCAAGTAAAATCAAATCACTGACAATTTTGATCTCTTCTCCATCTATCGATGATATTGCCCACTGATCCATCTAAAGTGGGTACACATCAATGATGAAATGTACTTTCCTATAGGAGTTATTTTTCAAATGACTTGTGTCCCAACAAGATAATTTCCTGGAGAATAAGCCTTACACCTTATTAATATTGGGTATGTCTTTGTAATAAATGCAGTGACAGTTTGGAGTGAATTTCAGAGAGTAAACTCCTGCTGGGGACCCACAACATTCAGTGAAATCACACATACCAGTTGTTGACCCACTCACTTCAAAAATAGCTACAGAATAAGGTATTAGGAATCTACAAACAATGAATGACTCTACGTAATATATTAAAAGAATGACAAATCCCACATCTTCTAAAATCATAGTACACATGATTTTTAAAATGAGAATAAAATTATAAGTTACCTTCTCTGTCTTTCTTTTTTAATCTTTTTCTTCTCCTATCTATTGTCGCAACTTCAGACTTCAAAGACATGTAGTATTTTCTGATTTCCTGTAGTTTTTCTTGAAGAAAAGATATTCTCTCTGAGCTATTCATATTATCTAATTCATCTAAAAAGGAGGGAAAAGGTTTAAAAACTTTGAGAATAAGATAGTAGTGCTATCAAAGTCTAATTCATAAATAAATCAGGAAGTCTTAGTTTATTACTTTCTTTTTTTATATAATTTTTTCTTTTTTATTGTATTATTTTTACGTGTACCATCAAATCAGATCTGACTGGTACAGGAGGAGATTACCTCCTCCTTCTCCAGCAGAGCATCTGGTGGATTTGAACCATGTACCTCTGGGATTGCAGTGCAGTGTCTTGCCACTAGGCCACCAGAGCTCCCTAGTTTATTACTTTCAATATCAATGTAAATATACAAGGAAGCCTTAAACTTAGTAATTTAGAAAAGGTACTTCAGTTTCACTGATTCATAGAAACCACACGTTTCTTATTTCTTAACTGGGGATGTTCATTTGGTCAATACTTGTTAAGTTGGTGTTATCAAAATACACAGATTTGCACTTCAGATAAAGTGAGGCAATTACAGATATTAACACAACAGTTACCATGGAGTCTGTTCTGACTTGTAGCAACAAGGAGCAGAATCATGCACCCCAGGTGTTCAATGGCTGTGACCTCTCGGAAGCTGACTGCCAGGCCTTTCTAGATGGACTTGAACCTTTTGTTTAGCACCTCAGTTTGTAAATGTTTACCCACAAAGCTCTGAAACAGTGCAGGAAATGATACATGACCTTGCAACACTGCTGTTACATGCCAATGAGTAGAAGGCCACTCACAGCTGATCCTCCAACAGGTTTTCAGAAGCTATAAATCGCACAGGAAGAGACTGTGTATCTTTCACTCATGGAACAGCTGGAAGTTTTGACATGCCTGTTGGGATTGCTGACTAGGCTGGCAGAGCTCCCTTTACTAACATAAAAGTGGCCTCCTGTTGTGCACCGTGGAGTTGGAACCAACCCATAGTTGACCCTCCTGCAGGTTTTCAGAGGCAGCTAATCACACGAAAGGAAAGTGCCCATTCTTCTTCCACGGAGCAGCTGGTGGCCTCAAACCACATGCCTTCAGGATTGCAGTGCAGCTTCTTGCCATTAGGCCACCAGAGCTCCCTAAAAGTAGCCTACTGTTAAGCAACTGTGCCATCAACCTAAAGGCACAAAGCTCAAATCCACCAGCTGCTCTGCAGGGCAAAGATGGAAAATCCACTCCGGTGTGATTTACTGCCTCTGAAAACCCACTGGAAGGTTAGCTATGGGTTGGTCCTAAATCAACTGTATATAACAAAACCACCACTGTACAATAAAAATACAGGGAACAAAAGGTCTCTCTCAAAAAATAAAACACAAAATGGTAAGACTTCTAAATGCTCAATAAAGAAAAATAAAGAAGAGATAAACAGGAAAGACAATAAAGCTAGGCATTAGACCAAGTAGATAATTTAAAATAAATTCCCCTTTAAGAAAAACATTCGTATTCTCTAAGGGTCTTACTGAGTTGAAAGCTCCACTTGTATGTTCTAGGAGATGAATTTGGATGTTTTTCTCTGTGTTTATCTTTTTCTCCATCTTTAATGTGAGGGGATATTCTTGCAGGAGATCTTGTAAGTTTCTGTGGTTTTGATACACTAAGATGCTTTACTGGAGTACATTTATTTGAATTTTCTACAACAGGAAGATCTTCACTATCACTGCTTTGTCCTATAATGGAAAAAGAAAAAGAACCGACTTAGAGATTACACATTACAAGTATCTCAAATACCAAAACGCAACAGAACAGTAGTGACAGTTGTATAACACACTGAGTATAAATAATGGCAATGAACTGTCTGTGGGAAAAAACTGCTGAAATGGCAATGTTCTGTTACACATGTTCCACATTTAAAAAAAAAAACAAATCTCAACCAAATAATACTTGTTACTTGAGGGGTAATAAAACCCAGATCCAGATTTTTCACTCTGTAAGAATCAAGTACATAATGTACAATTTATCACAGTTGAAAAAAATAATCTTCTTTCCTCTTTCTCAATTTTATTTCCTTTTTTCAATCTACATATCCCACCCCCACCCTGCTCACTCTAAAAAGTCAACCTGGCCTAAAGGGAGGTGACACACTCAGTTCACACTTTCTTTTTTAAAAAAAAAATATTCTTTTTTGTGTGTACTGTCAAATTGGATCTGACTGGTACAGGAGGAGATTGTCCCTCCTTCTCCACCAGTGCATCTGGTGGATTTTAACTGCATACTTCTGGGACTGCAATGCAGCTTCTTGCCACAAGGCCACCAGAGCTCCCTCTCAGTTCACACTTCTGACCTACTTCTCAGTTCACACTTCTGATCTATTTGTATCTACTGCCATTTGACCCTCATCTTTTGTTTCAAAAACATAAGAGACTTTTTGGGGGGAATATTAATCTCTACATACATTATTAAAATCATCTGCTCTCAGCTTCTCTGGAATACCCTAATGTCAGTAATCAAGTTTTTCCATCTGCAATTTCTTCCTGTATTTCATACCTCACGTAATCAGCTGATGTTTAATAGTAATCTTAATAACAAAATCCGATTTTATTTTTTAAGATTCATTCTTGCTTTCATTGCCCTCATTAATCTATGACTTTATTTTCCCCCAAAACCAGATTTTCTTCCCGTTAAAATCGCTTCAACAGTCCCTCCCTGAAAATGGTCTAAAGTAATACTCTTTTTATCCTATCATTTTACCACCAGTTTATTCCTGCAACCAAAAAAAAAAGTCATCCAAGAGTGAACAAGAATTTGAAATACTTTCTATGACTATTTCTCTAGTTACACACCATCACTTCCATTTTGTTTGTCAGACAAGTACCACTAAATTCAGCCCAAACTCAAGGTGATCTTCTATTCACCACTAGAGCATTCTGTCAGAATGAGAATACACTACTACCGTAAAAATCAGAAAATTCACGTAGGTATATTTGATGTTGTGTGCATGTTTTTTAGTTGACTCCAACTCAGAGGAATGCAATGTAGAGCTAACGTAGGCCAGTGTAGAGCTAACCCACTGAGCTTCCTAGGCTGATATGTTGATAGGACTCAACTGCCAAGTATTTTCTCCCATAGGACTACTGGTGGACTCAAACCACTGACCTTTCAGTCAGCAGCTGAGCACATTCACTGTGCCACCAGGACACTCATCTATTTAATGTTCATATCCCACTCATTTTTCTCTAGTTGATTCCATGATGTCCTTTAGAGCAGAAGGATCCAGGTGAATATTATGTACTGCATTTAGTTTACATATCTCCTATGGATTCTTCAATTGAGTTCTTCTGTCATTCCTTGTCTTTCATGACCTTGACATGTTTCAAAATCACAGGCTACTTGTTTTACAGAATATTCATCAATTTTGGATTAAGCGAGTGCCTTTTCATGATTTAATTCAGGTTCCACATTGTTAATGATGGCATGACAACAGCAGCTGACCTCCTCTAACTTTGTAAGAGGAAGAGAGAGTCACCACCACCAGCGGTCCAAGGCTGATTTATACAAGTTCAAGGTCAGACTTTACTGTCATAGGGCTGTTTTATCAGGCAACCTATTCTATCAATTCTGATATCAATCATCCTTCCAACAAACTCTGCTCTTCTGCTGGCTTTGATAATTCATTGTAATGACCACACAGAACTCATAGACAATAAAGTTGTCAGATTTAGCAGAGAATAGGTTATAATTCAGGATCAGAAATGACTCAGGACATTTGATCAGGACAGTCTTTTTGCAGCTGTACCTCTACTCAGAAAGCATTATAAAGCTCTTCTCAACTTGGCTGATAAATGCTCAGAAGCATAGTTCATTTTAAAACTAGCAGGTTGGAAAACTGACTAATCCCATATTAGAATTGCAAAACTGGGGAGCTCTGGTGGCCTAGTGGCAACACGCTGCACTGCAATCCCAGAGGAACACGGTTTGAATCCACCAGATGCTCTGCCGGAGAAGGAGGCGCAATATCCTCCTGTACCAGTCAGATCTGATTTGACGGTACACGCACACAAAATAATAATAATAATTAAAAAAAAAGAATTGCAAAACTGACCAAGCTCCTAGTGACTAGTGGCCTAACTGACCAGTAAGGGTCTCACACACTATATTTGCATGGTCTCATGGCCACAAATGTGCCATGTAGTTTACTTATGCTCAAGCTATCTATTCCTTTGGTGTATATTATGGCTAGAAGAGCCACAGTAAGTAATTCACTACACTACATGTGTTTTTACATTTAAAATTATCATGGCACTATACTACGTTCTTTTTTCATTTTGTGAGGTAGTGTAAGATTTAACTGTTCCATTACTGGTGGTGTCCACTACATTTATTTACAGCAAAGTTATTCTTCCTTTTGTAGTTCCTGTTACCTTTACAGTCTCATCACTCATTATGATTTTCTTTTTAATTTTTTTTTAATAATTTTAATGAACATTTACAGAGATTTTGGATTTCCATTTATTCATTGCTGCACTTTCATTATTATTTTCTAACTCTACAACAATACTGTGTAGCCATTTAGTCATGTGTGCTATTAAGAACTTCAAATATGGCTCAGAGGTTTTCCTCTGAAATTTAGTTTAAGTGAATTGCCACCCACTGCCAAAATAAGAGGCCGCTGGGAAACCCTATGAACAATAGAGGACTATGGGTAATTATAGTATTAGAGGTAAGGTCCATATAGGAAGACCCTAAGACATGAGGAGAAACAGCTGCAAACTGCCGCCTGGGCTCAACTGTGAGACATGATGAAGATGGCACAGGATAGGACAGGTTCATAAGGTCACTATGAGTAGTTTTTAACTCAATGGCATCTAACAACATATTCCTTTCCTTGAAATGTGTGTTGTTGTTATGTGTCATTGAGTCGTCTGCGACTCATAGCGACCCTATGTACAAGAGCTCTATACGTTCTTCTATCCTCTGCCAACCTAGCCATCTCAAACACACTTATTCCCACCGCTCCAGTCACAGAATCAATCCATCTCATTGAAGGTCTTCCTCTCCTTTGCCGCCCCTCCACTCTGCCAAACATGATGTCCCTCTCCAAGGACCAGTCCCTCCTTGCAAAATGCCCAAAGTATGTCAGACGAAGCTTCAGAATCTTTGACTCCAAGGAGCATTCCGGCTTCACTTTCTCCAGGACAAACCCGTTTGTTCTCCTAGCAATCCATGGTATAGTCAAGACTCTTCTCCAGCACCACAGCTCAAAGGCATCAATTCTCTATCAATCCTATTCACTGTCCAACTTTCTGATGCATAGCACATAATTGCGAAGACTATAGCCCAGATCAGGTGCACCTTAGTCTCCAGCCTGACATCGTTGCTCTCTAGTACTCTGGAGAGGTCCCTCACAGCCGACTTTCCCAATGCAATTTGTCTCTTCCATTAAGTTCTTAGCAGTATGCAGAGGTAAAACTTTGTCAAAATCAATCACATTCACGTCTACTACAATATATAACCTGATTTTAGCCTTTATTACATAGAAGTACTTTTCATATAACCTACTCTATTTACAAATATCCTTGCTTCTGTCAATTAAAACTGTCTTTATTTTCCTCATCTTTTAATATTACCGTGACGATATTTAGAAACAAGTTTTTCTACTTATAGGAAAAGATTCTATATCTAAGTATAAACTTCTTAAGCTCCTAAAAACCACAGCAAAGGTTATTTTTCTCTTAACCAACATTTAAAAAATACAGTCCTCTACTATTAAACATTCTCATAGAAGAAATACGAATTAAGCAAACTTTCAAGAGAAGCAGTTATTCCATCTCAAATGCAATGTGTAAAGTATTTTCAGGTTAGTTAATGGTGAAATAGTTCTTTTCAGACCACAATTTTAAAAAATTTATGTTAAATCTGTTAGAAAGAGTTGAAAAATACTAACATATTAAATCTAGCGTTAGAAACCACTAACCTGCTCCATTCTTTTCATTTTTGGCTACAGCACTTATTCGCTTTGGAGTACGTTTTAGTTTTTTTGTCAACAACTCACTATTTCCATCACTTGGCCTTTTCTGACCTGAGAAAACAAAGGTAAACTTATTTATCCACTTTTCTACACATACTTTTTATATATACAATAAACAGGGAAAAGAAAGATAAAAGATGGAAAGAAAAATTATTTTGTATCAGTTTTTAAAATGGAAAAAAATGCTAAAAGGCTAATTCCCTTCTCCCCCCAAGAAAGTCCTTACCCTTTTCTCTGTTCTCTCTTTCTTGTATAATTATACTACAGGTGGTGGAAGCGACACTGGCTTCAAATCCATTTGCTGATTCCCTCTCACAGAGACCTTCCTGAGATTCCTCAGCAATGCTGTCAACTTCAATTGTTATGTCACTCTCACTTTTGATACTTCGAGACTCGTCTTGACTGAGGGTGAGTGGTGAAGCTACTGAGAAGTTAGGCTGAACCACGGGAGGTAAGGCAGGTGGAATTGAAACAAGAGAATTGGACTCAGAGCTTTCCACCACTACATCCTCGACATTGGTCTTCTCTTTTTCATCCAAATCGTCCAAATCTACTTCATGGCAAACCAAAGTTTCAGGTCCAATTAAAGGCATTGCATCTTCTTCTTCTTTTAGTGAAGTATTTACAATTTCTTCTGCTGGACTACTGGATTTTTCACTAGTCAGTTCTTGAATGTTTTGATTTGATTCTGCTATTAATGATGGCATTCCTTCATTTTCTGTTTCAAAGTGCTGTTCAAAGTTTAAGTTTTTCATTCCCTCAGTTCCTACACAATCACTCGTCCTTTCTTGAGATAAGCTATTTGGTATTTCCATCCCATTCTCAAGTCTTATTTTTTTCTCTGGTGAAGATTGTCCTAGTATTTTCCGTTTCAACTTTTTTCCTTTTATACATTGGTCAATTTCATCTTCAGCAGAAGAAAAGTCTTTATTGTCCAATGCAGAATATTCTAGATTCTGAGCTTCTGTTTGAGGCTCACATCCTGCTTCATCCTGGCTCAAAGAGGAAATCTTTATAATTTCTAAAGAAATATCTTTTGTTTTGCTCCTTCTTCCTTTTCCTTTAGGCGATTTTTCTGCCTCTTTTTTAATGTCTATTATTTGTTCCACTTTGCTTCCAAAAATCTGTACTATTTGTTCATTTTCCCCAACTTCTAACTTGAGGGTTTCCAACGGTTGCATTTGAGTCCTATCATTTTCTTTTAATATATGTGCAATCTTTGGATTTTCTTCATCTAGTTTATCATCACTTAAATGTTCATTTTTTTCTACTTCTTCTTTAATATCAGGAGAAAGTTCTTCATTCATCAAATTCTTTTCCAAAGGGTCTTCTGTTTCACTATCAGACGAACAAGAATCTGTAAAAGGACATATTATTATGTTAAAAAGGTTTCTATTTTAGTTACTAATAAAATGACATATTAAAAATCCCAATAAAAATGAACAAATGGCTTAGTCACATTTACCTCTGGAGGCCTCCTTGCAGAAATCTGTTATATAAAATCAGTCACATATTTGTACCAAAAATTGAAATGGAGAGATCCCAAACGAAACATCACATAAAAATACAATATATAACAAGTCTTACTAAGACAAATCTGTGTATAAAGACCTATTTTGCAATTTTCCTCAACAATAACAACAATAACATCCTAGTTAGGCTACAACAGCCTTTAGAAAAATCAAAGGACTACTACTGAAATACGAAGTCAGTATGTTAAGTGGTTTAACCTGAAAGTTCATTCACCCACTCATTGCCAATAAGTTGGAACTGACTCATAGCCAAGCCCCCAGTGGGTTTCCAAGGCTGTAAGTCACAGGAGAGGAGACTGTCATCTTTCTCCCCTGAGCCGTTGGTGAATTCAAACTGCCAGAGAGGTGTGACCTTGGGGTTGGCAGTGCAACTCCCTATGGACTAGGTCATCAGAGCTCTTGAGAGCTAGTATGCATGAATTCCTAAATGTGATGACCATTTCACATCTAGAAGGGAACAGGGCATCCACCTAAAATAATTCTGGAAAGAACAGACACTGAACATGAGCCATTAAAATTCTCAAAATTATAAGTTTTCTTCTCAGAGACAAGAAAGTACAAAGCAAGCTCTTGTCTTGCAAAATAAACTAATCTTTTTTCACAAGGGAATTTTACAATTAGTACTGTTTTAAGTCTGGATGGGAGCTGAAAATATAAATATATTCTGCCACCGCATGCTCCTATCCTAAATAAATAGCCCACAAAAGTAAATGTATCTTTTTAAAAAAAATGGGTTCAGAGACATGTTGTTACTTTATAATAAATAGAATAAAAAGATTTGCATCATTAATAAATTAAAAAAATGCTTTTATATAGTAGTTTAACAAAGTTTCAGTGCACACTTTTGTATGCTGTACACTGAAAGTGGGCATTCCACAGAAGGGGGCACTGAAAGACATCTTCTAAGTGTGTATGTTAACAGCCTTCCAGCAGATGGCAGTAGGTAGGAGGATTTGCACAAAAGAACCTTGTGGCAACTATATATATAGCTTTGTTGTTTGCTGTGTGCCGCTGAGTGAGAACTGACCCATAGCTGACCCTCCAACACATTTTCAGAGGCAGTAAATCACACCGAAGGTGACTTCTCACCCTTCTCCCACAGACTAGCTGAAGGATTCAAACCACATGCCTTTGGGATCACAGTGCAGCTTCTAACAACTAGACCAACAGAGCTCCTGTATGTATATAACTTAGAGTAGTATTTTCCTTTGAGGAAAACATTTCATATTTAATTCTGACCATAAAATTATTTCATATTCATTAAATAGCATGGACAAATACACAAAGTTAGAAAAGTGGTAAAATGGAATAAAAACAGAATAAATGGTCAGCTGTTTTCATCACAAAACATGTCTAAACTAGCTGTTGCTGTGTACCAATGAGTCAGAACTGATTTACAGCTGACCCTCCAGCATGCTTTCAGAGGCAGTAAATTGCACAGGAGGAGACTACCCATCCTTCTCCCAGACAGCAGCTGGTGGATTCAAACCACATGCCTGAAGGATTATAGCGCAGCTATAATAAAACTAGGCCACCCGAGGTCCCTTATACTATAGTGTTGTATACCATCAAGTTGGAATCAACTCATAGCTGACCTTCTAGCAGGTTTTCAGAAGTGGTAAGTCTCCTAGGAGATTAGCCACCTTTCTTCTGCAGAGCAGCTAGGGGATGTGAACTGTATAGCTTTGGGTTGGCAGCCCAACTCCTTACCAATTCACCCTAACTTCCTATACTACATAAAAATTATGTCTTAAAAGAAAGTTTACTACTAAACAATTGGTGTTCCATTCATTCACTCAGAGATTATTTTTTTTTTAGAGATTTTTTTTTAATGGCATTAATTACAGTCCCCACATAATAACAGCAATCTCTCCAAATTCTAATTTTTGTCTCCTTTATTCCTTCTCACCTATCCGTTCCTGCCTTCGGCACTCTCTCCCTAGGTAAATACTGCCCATATGATCTTGTTTCATTGATTGTTCCAAGAAGTGAGAACCTTCCTGGAGTCATCCTTCACCTTATGAACATGACTACTGTTTGGATGAAAACTGAGCCACAGAGATGAGATTAGTTCCTGGCTCAGAAAGACACTGAGGGCGATCATCTTCAAGTTCCATCAGTGTCCGCTGTAAGCCTGTCCGGTATTCTCTTTGAACTTAAACAGACCTTTTTTAAAAGATCTGCTTTGTTGAAAGATTCTGGGTAAGCTAGACTGAATTTACAGCAGACATAGTTAACGTCTAATCACCCTACAGGTATTTTATAGTAAAATGGGATAGCAAAATAAACTTCCTGCTCAAATCACACTATTTCATATCATATGACCCAGAAGTTCTCTCAAAAAACTAAAGTTTTATTATTTGTATTACTGATTTTTGAAAACTCAGTGATCCTAAAAAATTAAGCACCTTCTATTCCATTTGATAGAGGTGAGCTGTCTGGCATATTGTTGTGAGCACATCTGGTACCTGATTTTCCTTCACTGTTTGGTGTCTTAGACAAACCATATGGCATGTTTGATGAAAGGGTAGATTTTAAAGGAGGTCGTCCACGTTTTGACTTCTGCCTCTCCTCATCCCTCTTTTCATCCTTTTCAAGATCTTCTTTATTCTGAGCAAAACAATAAAATATAGGAGAAGAGCCAATGCTTTATGAAAAATGAATACTGTATCTCTTTGAGGAAAACTGTAACTGCCACAAGTTAGTTACTTTTTATAGGTCAACTCTATCTGTACTTACAGAATTTCTTTTTTAAAAAATTTTAGAACACAATTTATATGACTAATACATTGGACAATTTGTAGCAAAACAATTACACAGTATGGCAGGGTCAATGCATTATTTAGAGATCCTCACAAGCACTCAGCAACCACTCTTGTATCTTTCTATCCCCAGAGGAAAAGAAACAGCTATCATCAAATAGATGAAAAGCTAGGTTAATTTCTATAGCAAAGTCTGAAAAAATTCAGTCTACCAAGTAAAGTACACAAATGCTCAGGAGACAGAGGAGTTAAAATTTTAACTGTAGATTCTGAATGTAAAAATCAGATTTCACATTTTTAAAAATCTAGATGACTTAAAAAACTCTAAGACTTGGAAACCCTAAATCTGAGAACTCTAGCAAGGCTAGTCCTAGTCACCACCACCACTAGCTGAGGACTGTGTCCTCTGGCTTGTCACTGAAATCCTGCCTTACCACTTATTTCCAAAGACTACAGTTACTACTACCTATTGAGTTTGAACTCCCTGCCCTAGGGGTAGTTGGTTTTCACCTTTTCAGAAACAAGGTGGTGATGTGTTTTAAGTTTTTACTTCTTTGCTCCTTAGTAATCCTAACAAAAACATTACAGTTAAATTTAGAGAATTCCTGTACTTCTGATGAAGGATATGTATCAATGAACATACTTTAGCTTTTTTCTTCTGTTTTTTCTTTGGTCCACCTTTGTCCAAAGGCCAGATTATCCTGTCAGCCTTCACCCATTCATCATACCTTAAAATAAAAAATATAAAGATTTTACAATGATATCCTATTTAAAATGTGTTCACAACAAGAAAACAACCATGAGATATATTGAAGAGTTTGTTTCTACTCAGCAAATGTGACGGAAACTGGTAATATGGTACAGGGCCTGTCCTAGTAAGTACGCTAAGGAAGCAAGCAAGAGAATCTTAGATAAACCGGCATGGAGGGAGCACTGATCAGGCAAACCATGACTGGAATTTTTTTTAAAAAACACACATTTCTTTTACCTAAGTTAATTCTGTTTCGCGCAACTGGAAAACTCTTAACTCCGTGTTTTTACTCTGCTTTTTTCTAAAACCACTGACATAATTTTTACATTTTAGCCCACTTTATTAGTCAAGGGCAAATAAGAAATTGAAAACTTTCTAGAATTAAACAACAGTTCTTAAATTATTTAAGTATATTGGTATTTGTAAAGCTCAAAATTGAATTTTCAAAGTACAAAACCAACCCCAACATAGCAAGCACCTTTGATGGTAGCATGTTAACAGAAACTCACACACATGAAAGCCATGCCCTCTCTTTGTGATACAGCTATTGCAGAGCAAAGCAAAATGAAGACAAAGTTTCTATGTGCAAATATTTACACTGACATGGTACCATGATTACCATGATTTGAAAATAATCTCTTGAATTAAGCCCAATCATCAATTCTGTGAGCATTTTATCAGGTGTTCAAACAACTGTACTCTCTTCACTAACACACATTTACTGAGGATCTAGTAGTATACATGAGATTATTTAAGAGAAAGTTATGCAAAGGGGAAAAAACAGAGATGACAAGGCTTGTCCCTTCAAGCAACTTGTAACTTGTGTGCAAGAAAAATACATAATAAAAATATGGTCTGGTAACTGTTACATAATGTTGCATCTATCTGGATCAGAGGCAAACAAAGAGAGAAGCCTGTTGCTTTTAGATGCTGTCAAGTAAACCAGGACTCAGTAACCCTATAAAGATCATATCTGCACCTTGCCCTATCCTGTACCATCATCCGAAATTCAGACATCCTCAAGACCAGTTGCTGTGTCAGTCCATCTTGTTGAGTCTTCCTCTCTTTACCTGACCTTTCCCAAGCTCTGGGGGCTTAATGATAAGGAATTATGCTGCCAAACTAAAAGTATGCAGTTCAAATCAACCAGCTGCTCTACCGGAAAAATACGTGCAATCTCCTCCTATGTGATTTATTGCCTCTGGAAAGCTGCTGGAGGGTCAGCTATGACTCGGCTCTGACTCAAGGGTTGTTGTTATTAAGTGCCATCGGTAGGCAACTCGAGGGTACTCAACAATAAACAACAACTACCTTTCCTAGCATTATGTCTCTCTCTAAAGACTGGTTCCTCCTGGAAAAGGCTAGAGAACAGCTACTCCCAATTCCAAACTTTGCCTGGAGATAGGAGACCGGAGCACAAGCCTCATGTGCTTTCAGGCCACTTTGGCCTGCAGAACATGCTATCTCACAAACGTACTTTCAACACTAATACAGATAACTGAGTGCAGTCCCAGAGGTTCACCACTAGAGGCCAGGGCTCCCCAACACTAAGTCGATTTAAAAAAATCAGTCTAGATTCTCCCGGATGTGTGATGTTATTGTTTCAATGAGCAAGCCAGAATTATACCAGATTTTAAGGAGAGAGAAGAACAACAGAACATTATAAACTCTGTGAATAATCAGGTAATGAGTGAGTTTATCAAACAAACTGAGCATAACTGAGATTAAAAAGGTGCGAAAGAAATGTTGGAATGGGAAATGTGAGAAAACACCAACAGACATATATTGAGATGAGAACTAAGAGTGAGTGGTTATAGACTGAGTAAAATCTGAAGAAAAAAGAAGGTGAATGTGCTGCAAATACAGTGACTCAAAGTGGCCTTCTCCTAGTAATTCAACAACACAGTTTAAAGATAAACAAATGTAAAGTTTTCTATGTTATTCAGTAAGTCCACAGACTTCTTCAGGTGCAGGAGAGATTTTATTTAGTAAACAGCCATTGTTCTATGCTCTTTACATGTTAATTAACATAAGTATTGCCATTATTTCTCACAACTCCTACTTCTAAAGCAAGAACTTTGTTCTCTCCAATCTAGAGATAGAATACTGAAGCACAGTAAGAGCAGACATGTAGTAAATTGTGAAACCATGGAGTGGTATGGTTCCAAGCAAGTACAGGTCAACCACTGACAATGAAACACAAGACTTTCCAAAGGAGAAAGAAAGCAGACCCTAGCATGAAGCAGTGTGCCTGGGACTCTGTCAGTTAGGCCCTAACAATGCTACAAATACCTCTGACACTTGCTGCTAAAGCCATGGAGCTCTACAGAACAACAACATCAAATGAGGCCACTCTTGACCAAGATGGGCAAGACAAAAATAAGACGTCTCTCTGTCATATCTAAACACAGGAAAGCAAGAACACTGGCCATGCCACAATAACAAGCTACATTCACAGGGGACATCAAGGTCAAATGGCATAACACAATCCACAAAGACAAAAATGTTCTATATTCTACTTTAGTGATTAGTGATAGGCATCTTAAAAACTTAGTGAAGTTCAATCTCCATGACCCTGAATTCTTCTACTAGCCACTGTTGCTGACTGCTCTGAAAACAATCACAACAGAAGGTCTCTAACAGTGGGAGAAAAATGTGGACTAAAACTCAATCATAAGTAAGACAAGACTTAATAGTTATGATAGAGACTAGTGGAATCACCAAGACTATGGTCCTTCAAAACACCTCAATCTCATAGCTGACCCCCCAAGAGACTTCCAAGGCACAAGCTGCACAGAAAGACATTGCCCTTCTTTCTTGAACAGAGTCACTGGTGGACGAGTACTGCCAGAAGCACGGCCTTTGTGTTAACAGCTATAAAGCACTCTATAGACTAAATCACAAAGCTCCCATAGGGTCCTTAAGCCTACAACTGAAATCATTCCCTTACAAGATCCAACAAACAGGGCTTTAAGGTGCTCAGTAACACCAGGGAGAAAAGACACTCATCAGAACAACCAATCAATCACATGAGATTAAAATGGCACCATATGCCCCGGGATAACGTGGAGAAGGCAGCAAGGACAAATGAAACAGGAGACACAGAAGACGTGTGACGGCGGCTGTTCCAGGTGAGGGTGGTAATCACTATCAGTAAAGTGTGTATGAAAATTGTTGAATGGAAACTACTGTGCTTTGTAAACTTTCACTTACATCACAATAAAAAGTTCGAAGTTCTTTTTAAAAAACCCAAGCGTTCTCTTTTCCTGACTATTATGAGAGAGTCCGGCTTCTTTAACAATTACAGCATTATTATTTGAATTAAGATATACCAAAATTGCCAGTCCTCAGATTCTGCATTTCTTTACGGCATCCAATCTAGAGCAGAGCCATGTTACTTAGATACTTGCCAACAAAACATCTAATAGAAACTCAGATCTAATTCCACTCTAACAATTTTTCAGTATTCAGAGAGTTTGCTTCATTAAGATGCATGACACAGCCTTCCATCCTGCTAAGCAAAAAGAATAAAAATCAAATGCTCGAAGTAGGCACTGTTTCGTCCAACACCCTCTCACACTGAGACGCAGGAGAATCCCCGTCTGTGTGTGTTCTTTCTCACTGCAGAGGATGACAAAGTCCAGCTCATGCACTTATAGGTGTGTTCCTGGTGATGTTGGCTGGAAGCAGAGAGAGCTTGCAGAATAGTAGAAATAAAGACTTAGAGAAAATCTAGAATCTAGGTGAACACTACAAATACACCAGTTGCATTCAGTCCTTTACAACTTTACAAGAATCTGTTTTTCCCACTGAAAGGAATCGCAATAATAAAACAACTTTTTACTTACCTGACATTCCAGCCATAGTAATGTACCAAGTATAGAACTTCTCCATCATCAATTTCAGTGCTTTTAATGCTGGCTTCATAAATTTTCTGTGTTTTCCCTCGACCGTATTTTACTTTCACTTTGGTTCCTGTTAGGCAGGGTTCCATGTCTTCCTCGTCTTCCTCACCTTCTGAGTCACATTTGCTTTCCGTTTCTTCCCTGCAGTAAGTCATAACATCAACAGTGCTACTAACAATTTAATGGCAAACAAAAGAAACACTAAAAGAATCCAATATTCACAACTTAAGTATTACCTTAATAGCATGTCAGTGGAGGAGGAGAAGAAGGAGGAGAAGGAGAAGATTGTAATGAACTACTTATCAGGAAATGATTTTTTCTTGTATAAAGGTACAGTGTACCCAAAATCCATAATTCTTATAAGGCAATCGGTGGCCAAAGTTAATGAGAGGGTAGGTAAAATTCTTTGATATCAAAACAATATTCTCTAAAAGTCTTTGGAGTTCATACTCCAGTGCCATCTTATATGTGAAAATGACCTAAAGGCATTTTATAACTTCCTATAAGTAATTTATCTTTAATTTTATTGTGACCTTCTGTTTCATTTAGAATGGTTCTTAGCAAAAAATAAATTTTTGTGTGGGCAAAATAATGAACAGGGCTATCTGTATTAGTAATGTTGTCTTTACACTATTTTAACAGGTTTCTCCACCCTCATCGAAAAAGATCAGATATTCAAGTATTAGATCACGTGCTAAAACAATGGTATAGAATCAGAAGAGCAACACTTTATGTGCTCGCTGATAACTCACTGATAACTTTACTGATCACTCAGCGGCTTTTCTCTACAGTGATAATCAAGGATAAAGAACATTCACACACTAGGTCCAGCAATATGTAAATACTTTTGTAATAAGGTAAATGCATTAATTCTACAGAATTCAGATATATTTATGGCAATATAACATGTATCACTATAGTGTCATTGATTTTAAAAGCTTAAGAGGAGACACTGCGTTATATAATAAATATAGGACATAATTTTGGTAACCAGCATAGAATCTGACATAAAAAAAACTTTAACAACTCATTGGTGGTGGGAATATTTTCTCTCCAAGGAAAACTTCCAATTATAGCTTGATAAATTAATTTTTAAAACTTCAAGAGAAAATACTTAGAATAGAAATTACTTCTGTAGATAAAAGTCTCTTTACTTCTCTGAGCCCAGTTGTGGAATGAAAATACTGTATTTGCTGTGTGTATATTCAACTTTTGAAAATATAGATTTTCATATTTACATCTATTAAACTTTGTTTTCTCTGAACAAATAGACTTTGAAAACAAAACAAATAGACTTTGAAAACAAATAGTTTATGTACATAAATGTAGTATATTGCATGTATATCATACATATCTTAATGCTAGTCTTTAACAATACTCCAAATTAGAATTGTTTTCAGATTATTCACCATTGTTTATATTTATTGTTCGACACCGGTAGTGCCTGATGTAATGGTGTGTTTGAGTTAGATGAGCTACACTTGTGACTTCATTTCTGTTTTGTTTTGGTACGTTTTATCAATAGTACTCTCTATTACATATAATGCTGCAGTGCATAATTTGATGTTATCATGCTCATGCAAGTCTCCAAAGATAAGTGAATATTGGATTCATAAGAAGGCTGATGACAATTAAAACTAAAAAGAGTTAGCAGACTTCCATGAGCAAGGACTTACAGTGAAGTCGTCGGAAAGGAACCCCATTGCAGGTTGAGGACTACCTGTATATAAAATTCTACATCTATACCACTATTATCAATGCCAATTATTTTCTCTTATTCTTGCGGATCCTAATTATATTTCATTGCAGAACTTTCTTTTGTTTAGTAATGAACTACTTCAAATATAACTGTCTAACTCCTATACATCTTTGTACTGAATCATGAAATTTACCTTTCGCACTCACCAATTATTTGATTTCTGCAAGTATTTTCTCAGAAGTTAACTTTCAATGGGTGTCAGCCACTGGCTGGTTGTTTGCAGCAAGCCAGTTTTCCAAAATTTTATTTCAAAACTACTATTTCTAGAAAACTTTGCATCACATAATTTTGAAAAGTAACTCTGGGTAGAAATATTCTATACAACTATGTTACCTGCTACTGCAAATTTACATTTCACTTAGTAAAATATTTTAAAAAATAAGTAAAAAGTTTTGGATAAACTATTTACAGAGTTGGTCAACTGAGTAACATCATCAAATATTACCTTGATCTAGATGGGCTATCTTAATCTGCTTAGTTTTAAGTCACTCTGGATCATATATAACACATCGAGGGGCAGGGGAATACAGTTTTCATTTAACAGCAAACAGGACAGACAGTAAAAAGTTGAAATTTATTGGTGTTATGTGGGGCAAGAATGAATTTTTAAAACTAGAATCAGGGGTGCATGCCACTTATTCTAATACAAAACTTGAAAAAAGAAAAATGTCCTAGATAAAGCTAACACACAGAAACACCTGCTAGTACTGTGCACCCATGTGTTTGTTAGCTTTCCCACATTGTACCTTTTTTAAAATGGATTTTTTGCTGTCGCTGTTTCCTCTTGTCCACTTCCTCCATTTTTCTCCAGCTCCCTTCCCTGCTGTCAACTGCAGGACCTTTCTTTTGACTGGGTGGCGCAGCCTTCTTTGAGGCCACTGTTTAGAGCACAAGTGCTATTAAAATGGTGCGACCAGTATATTCTCCAATTCCGAAAGGCGATACACATCATCTTCACAATGTGTCTCACCTTCATTAGACAAGAGGAATGGAAGTCCCAATAAGAAAATATTCCCTCAAACCTGAATCTCTAAGCAGGAACAAAAGCACTGCTGTACCCAGACAGGTACTTCTCAAGAACAAACGTAAGATCATGTACCTCTCTTGGCTTTTCTCTTCCTCTTCATCTGAGTCTTTGTCAGAGTCCTCCTGCTTTGTGATTTTCTTCTCTTTTTGCTTTGGTGTGCTTTTCCTCCCCAGTAGCAGCTCATTTTCTTTTTTCTCTGTGGTTTCGTCATCATCTACATCCTTATTTTCTGCATCATTATCTTTTAATTTGTCTTCTGTTTTCTCCTCTTCGATTTCTTTTGTAACACAATTTGCATCTCGAACAATTTTCCTCCGTCCCTGGTAGAGGGAATATAAGCTGTAAGATCACTATCACTATAAAAAGGATGAAAGCAGAAAAAAAAATGTTTTCTTTTCTCTTAAACTTGCATGGCAACAGCTAACTTTCAGTCTGTCGTGAGATCTGACTCTCACAACCAATCAACTCACATGCACTTATCTCTCCTTGCCTAAGTACAAGAGTAGCCAATGTGAAGTAACTATGTTCCTTTTGCTAGTTCTTCATGGTCTTATCTAATAGCTTTATTCAGTAAGGTCTTCATGACCTTTTGTAAACTATTACTTCCTTGAGACAGAGGATGGTATGATTTCTAGTACTGACTAACATTAAATTCATAAAGGTAAGGACTAATAAATCCTTGGTCAGGAGACACTAGCTGATTATCCCATCCTGGTTATAATGTATCCCTTGGGACAAGAGCCCTATCAACATAGTGCGTTACACATTGGGGATGCTAACCAAAAGGTCAATAGCTTGAATTCACTAGCTGCTCCATGAAAGAAAGACAGCCAGTCTCCTGCTATAAAGAAATACAATCTTGGAAGCCAAAGGATGGTCCCTATGAGCCACATCAGACTCCATAGAGTAGGTATATTTGTTTTTTTTAATGTTTAAATTACTGAACATCTCATGGACTGCCAAAAGAATAAGCAGATATGTCTTAAAGTGCAGCCAGAGTGCTCTCTGGAGGCAAAGATAACAAAGCTTCGTCTCTCATACTTTAGACATGCTGCTAGAAAAGTCTATTCCTTGGAGAGGGTCATCTTGCTTGGAGACACAGAGGGAGAGCGAAAGAGAGGAAAAACCCTCAAGCAAACCACATGGACTGACAATGTGACTGCATTAACAGGCTTGAGTGTGTCAGAAATGATGAGGAGGGCACAGGACAGGGCAGAGTTCAGATCTATTTTCCATAGGTTCCCTATGGATCTCACTAGGCTCGACAGTTACTAATGACAATTATGAATTTTGGCTATAAAGTACATTAAAATTACAAACCGATCCTTGTCCTTTGGTTACGACATTGTTGTATCTCATTTTAAGTATTTCACAACAACAAAAAATATCTACGTCAAGGAAATAATTAAATTACTACTAAAAAGAATAAAATTAGATCATTTAGAAGTCAATCTATTTATGGATAGCTGACCTTAGATAGAGGTGAAATCCATTAAGTGGGAGGAAACAATCTATTTAAAAAGCAGTCCTGGCAAAACTGGCTAGTTATTTGCAGAAAATTAAAAGACGAGCCATAAATCATATTTTGAACTGAAGACAGACAAGGGCTTAGGTGTAAAAACAGAAGCTACATACTGGGAGGAAATATTTAACAATGACATAGCTAACAAAGCAATCACTCTGAAATATATAGATACCTCAAAAAGAAAAATGCAAATAACCTAATCACAGCACGAAAGGAGATATGAAGAGATACTTCATCTCAATGTCAAAGAAAACATTCAGATGGCTTAAAAACACAGGAAGAAATGCTCAAAATATTTTAACTATTAGAAAGTTACAAATCCAAACAACAATGATACATCATCACATTCTAGGAACAGTAGCAAAGTTCAATTAAGACATCAAACAGCAAATGCTGGCAAAGGTATAGACAGATTGGAATTCTATCACACATCACTGGTGGGACTGTTTAACTGTGTAAATCATGTGTAGAACAGTTTGGTGCTTCCTTAAAAACATGAGAACAATGACTTAAAGCTGAGTAAAGAAAGTTAGCAATAAAAGGACAAATAAGAGGAGTCTACTACTACAAAAAAGCTAAATAAAATTACACAAAACCATCAATATTTATGGTATACAACAACAAGCATAACAATGCATATAGTAATGCATATTAGTATATGCATGAAATATATCCATGCATTTAACAGAGTCAAGGCAAAGCTATGTAAACTTCTTAATCATTACCAAACACCCTGAGGAACTGAGTTGTTTCTGGGGGCTTAGAACCATAATCTAAATGGACCTTACTGTCAATTGTTACAACCTAGTCCACAATGACTTTGTCCGTGTACGGTGCAACTATTAGTCTATTCCTCCAAAACAAGGAGGGAAAAAAAGTCAAGGTGTACTGAAGTAACTAACTAGTCCAAGGGACTAATGGACCAGATCAATGTCAACTTCCACAATCCTGAGACCAGGAAAATGAACTGGTGCCACTACCTCCACTGACCACTCTAAAAGGGATCAGAGCAACAGATCCTAGATATGGTGACAGAAAATGCAGAACAAAACTCAGAAATAGCAACAATTGTGCCTACACACACTGACCTAACAGAGGCTGGCAGAACTCCTGGGATATACATGTAACCCTTATTGTTATTAGGTGCTGCCAAATGAAAGGCACCTATGAACAAAAGATGGAAACCTTGCCTTGTCCTCCATTGTCCTCATCATCTCTACCATGCTCAAGCTCCCCGTTACTGTCACTGTGTCAATCTTCCTCTCTTTTGCTGACCCTCCAGCTTTCCAAGCATGTTCCTTTATTCCAATGAATGGCTCTTCCTGACAATATAAGCAAAATATGTGAGCTGAAGTCTCAGCATACTTTCCTCTAAGGAGACCTGGTTGCACTTCCTTCATGACAGATTTGTTTGTTCTTAGTTTCTGAGACTTGGAACAAAATTCAGCCCCGTGGCTCTCCTTTCAGTAAAATAACAGACAGGCCTTTAAGGTGACCAACAACCAGGAAGGCTCTCACTTTTCAGAATAACCAACTGGATAAAGTTAAAAGCACAGCATCTGCCCAAAAATAAACTTCAGAGGATAGAATAAAGCAGAAAAAACAGATTATTAGAAATAAGAATTACAAAGAGGAGAGAAAACTGTGATGACACTGGGAGTGTTGTAATTCATGTTGTAAAACAAAATATGTATGAATGACTACATGGAAAAGCTTTTGTAAACTCTCAAATCATAATGGAAAAAAGATAACTGGGGCAATGACGGTTGGTGTGTCGAAATAGTGAGACTGGCTCAGAGCAGGGTTCACAGGTGTACATAGGGTCACTATGGGCCACAGGTGACTTGAAGACACATAAGAACAACAACAAAAATTAACTCTTTAAATTTTGAACTGTGTAGCAGCTTTGGGGTCTCTGGTTCTTCTGTCTTTAAAGCTCAAATTAACATTATCATCACATCTATGACTACAGTTTAATGGACTGAGTTGCTTCAATAGTCAAAAAGTGAGAACTAGATGAATGAGTCTCTGGGGAGCTCAGCAGGCCAGCAGGAACCTGTTTTATGTCCAGCAGCTTCTGGCCAGTTTTTTGTTACATGTTTAACTGTCCATGAAACTGATGAGCTATTTCACCATTTACCAATTTTTCTTTAAATCAACCACCATTAACTGGCAGAAAATTCTTCTATTAAAAAAAAAATTCTGAGAGTAAAATGGTACAGTCACTATGGAAGGCTATATGGTGCTGTCTCAAAAAGTTGCAAAGAGAAATACCATTTGACCCAGCAATTCCACTACTGGAAATATACCCTAATGAAACCGTAACTACTACCCAAGCAGATATATGCACACCCATGTTTTTTGCGGCTTTAAGCAAAGAGTAGGAAACAACCTAAGTGCCCACAAACGAATGGACAGAGAAGCTGTGATATATTCACACAATAGAATATTACGCTGCATCGAAAAACAATGGAGCTCATGAAATATTATCAAAAATGGGTGATCCTGCAGGACATTATGCTGAGTGAAATATCTCAGTCACAAAAGGACAAATACTGCACAGTGCCACTGTTGTAAAATGGGACTGATATTGGGGTTGAGGGAAGACTGAAAGAGAGTGGATAAATAATGTATACTGCATTAAAACAGATGAGGGAGACAACTGTTTAAAACTGATATATTAGGTTTTATTGTCATGACAGGAGTCCAGAATGAAGGCTACAGAGTAGAGTGGACTTGAGGGGAAGGATTGTGTAACAATCAAAGAATTTCATCGTTCACTTTTCAAAGAGAAGAGTGAATTAGGGGGGAGGGGTGGGCAGGGAGAAAAGTACAACAGCAAATGAATTGAAATCCAAAGTCTCTATAAACTTTCATTAAAATTACTTAAAAAAGTTAAAAGGGGGAAAAAGAAAAAATCAATATTTCCATATATCTTTTACACTTCAAAGGTAGAAGAGAAAGTACACATTTATTCTTTTTTTAATTTTTTAAAAAATTATTTTAATTATTTTTATAACAAAGCACTAGAATGTAAAGAAAGAAGTTGTGTAGTAGTCAAGACCTTTTTAAATTCATTTTTGCATCTTCAGATCTAAATAGTGCCTGACACATAGTAGGTCTTTGCAGAGTACTTTTTGGTAGATGGTAGAAAACAACTTATCTATCTGCATTTTAAACCTGTATATTATTGATGTCTACCTCTGCATGGTTCAAAATTGGGAAGGGTGTACGCCAGGGATGCATCCTGTCTCCATACCTTTTCAACATGTATGCAGATTATCCAAGAGGCTGGGCTCTATGAGGAGAATTGTGGCATCAGGATTGGTGGAAGATCTATTAACAATCTGCGTTATGCAGATGACACAACCCTGCTTGCTGAAACTGAGGAGGACCTCATGCACTTTTGTCAAGGACTGCAGCCTTCAGTATGGACTGAGGCTCAATGTCAAGAAGACAAAGATTCTCACCACTGGACCAATTGGCAGCGTCAGGATGGATGGTGGAGAGATTGAGATTGTTCACAGCTTCAATTTGCTCGGCTCCACAGTCAACACTCTTGGCACCAGCAGTCAGGAAATCAAAAAGCATATCCCGATGGGAGAGTCTGCTGTTAGGGACCTCTCTAAAGTACTCAGGAGCAAAGGTGTCTCTCTGGAGACTAAGGTGCACCTGATACAGGCCATGGTCTTTGCAATCGCTTGTTATGCATCAGAGAGTTGAACAATGACTAGGGAGGACAGAAGGAGAGTGGATGCTTTTGAGCTGTGGTGCTGGAGAAGAGTACTGAATGTACCATGGACTGCCAGGAAAACAAACAGATTCATCTTGGAGAGGATTAAACCAAGCTACTCCTTGGAGGCAAGGATTCTGGGGCTTCGTCTGACATACTTTGGACATAATATGTCTTCTGACATATTTATGTTGCAAGGAGGGACGGGTCCTTGGAGAGGGACATCATGCTTGGGCGGGTAGAGGGACAGCGCAGGAGGGGAAGACCCTCTATGAGATAGATTGATTCGGTGACTGGGGTAATTGGGATGGATGTGTCAGAGGCAGTGCGGTTGGCGCAGGATAGAGCAGGGTTTAGGGCTGTTGTACATAGGGTCTCTATGAGTCACAAATGACTCGACGGCACATAACAACAACACCTACAAATTTCATTTTTAGACATATTATTCTAAATACTTCCTTTCTCACTAAACAAGTTTAGTGTGGATTTGTTTTCTCATCACAACATAAAGATCTACATCATCTTATATAACCAGCCTGCAGAATACATAAAGATGTGGCATGAATTTACCTTCGGCAAAAATTATTAATTCCTTACTAATACAAATAGTACAGTAATAAATATATCTGTGAAAATGTTCTCCTCTTTAATCTGGATTAGCCAAAATTCTATGTGATGAGTATATGACGGTTCACTGTTGTACTTTTACGTGTATATCCAAAACATTTAAAACTATTAAAAAATTCTGAAAGTAAACCAGACAAAATTAGTATTGACTCCTTACCCTGGGAGATTTTAATTCTATTTCATCTCTTTCACTTTCACTGTTTGAATCAATATTTTCTTCAGGTTCACTCTTCACTTCTACTAAAGGCATTTCTTGATCTTCTTTTAGCACCTCTTCCATTGATTCTTCAAAGTCTTTTTTTTCTTCTTTTACTTTTGGTTCATGGTGGTGAATGGTTCTGAACTGAATATTTGCAGAACGGCAATACTCCTCAAAACCATAGAGATACCTAGGCAAACAATATTTGATATTAAGAAATCTTACTCTTTCAAGTTAATTTGGTTACTAACACACATTATTTTAAAAAATTACAAATCAAGCCATTCACTTCCTTTTCTTGGTGTTTTACATAGCATTATTAACAACAAACATAAATACTGATCATAAAATAAAATGCCTTCCTGAGAAATCTGAGCCTGTGATAAAACTGCAAATATATAGCTGTCGTTCATTTCATATGAAGAGAGCTTTATAGCATGTACAATAATTTCAGACTGTAAATACTGATTCACATCCCTGATTCTGAAAAGGAAATCCTGATGTCAGAAATAGGATAAAGTAAGCACAACAAGATAAAGGTAAACAACCCAATTGAAAAATGGGCACAGGATATGAATAGACACTTTACCAAAGAAGACATTCAGATGATGAACAAACACATAACGAAATGTTCAAAATCCCTAGCTCTAAGAGAGATGCAAATAAAAACTACTATATTATCTCACCCCAGTAAAAATAGCAAAATTTAACAGAACAACAAACAACAACTGCTGGCAAGGTTACAGAGAAATTGGAACCCTTATTCACTGTTGGTGGGACTGTAAAATTGTACAATCACTATGGAAGGTAGTATGGCACTTTCTCAAAAAGTTGAAAATAGAAATATCATTTGACTCAGCAATTCCACTACTGAGGATATACCCTAAAGAAACCGGAACTGCCATTCAAGCAGATATATGCACATCCATGTTTATTGTGGCTTTGTTCACAATAGCAAAGAATTGGAAACAACCTAAGTGCCCATCAACAAACAAATGGATTGAGAAGCTCTGGTATACTCACATAATAGAATACTATGCTGCATTGAAAATTAAGGAACTTATGAAATATTATTCAAAATGGGTGACCTTGGAGCTCATTATGCTGAGTGAAATATCTCAGTCACAAAAGGACAAATATTGCTTAGTGCCACTGTTATAAAACGGGACTGATATCAAAGTTGGAGGTAAACTAAGGGGAGATAATGTATACTGCATTGAAACAGATGAGGGAAAGAATTGTTTAGGAGGAATGTATGATTAGGTATTATTGTCATGACAGAAGTCCAGAATGAAAGCTGCATAGGAAAGTGGACTTGGGGGTGGGGATTGTATAACAATGGAAGATTTTTTTTTTTTTATTTTCAAAGAGAAACGTGAACTGGGGGGAGGGGTGGGCAGGGAGAAAAGTGCAACAATGAATGAATGGAAATCCAAAGTGTCTGTAAACTTTCATTAAATGATTTTTTAAAAAGGGAACTTCGGCAGGAGAGATGGTAAAATGTATAATGATGAATGAATGAAAATCTAACTTTTCTATAAACTTTCATGAAAATCACAATTAAAATAAAAAATTACTTAAAAAAAAAAAGAAATGAGGGGAGCTCTGGTGTCCTAGTGGCAAGGAGCTGCAACTACAATCCCAGAGGCTCACGGTTCGAATCCACCAGATGCTCTGCCGGGGAAGGAGGGACAATCTCCTCCTGTACCAGTCAGATCTGATTTGACAGTACACTCACACAAAAATAATTTAAAAAAAAAAAAAAAGAAATGGGATAAAATAGACTTGATGCACTGAAGGAATTTCAAACTATGACAATTTATTTACAATTGGTGTTACTAGGTACTGAGTTGATTGTGACCTACGGAAACCCAAGAGGTGCAGAGCAGAACTGCATGTGCCACTGGGTTTTCAAGGCTGAGACTCCTCAGAAGCCCATCACCATGCATCTGATCCAAGGCTCTTTGGGTAAGTTTAAACCAGCAACGTTTTTAGTTGAGTACATCACTGTATGCACTACCCAAGGACTCCTAAACTTCAAGCATCTGTCAACTTAAAACACTTCATATACTGTATCTAACTTCAATCTTCCATAATTTATTCATTTCAATTTAATTAAAAAGTAGTAAAAAACATTTCCTATAAATATGTATTCTTTGACAAATAAACTATACTACTTACTTTCTATAAGCAGTTTTTACATTGTAGGAAGCAGCTGAATTCAAAATAGGAATGCCAAGGTCCATATAAATTTGCTTCCATACAGCACCACTATCAATCTGGAAAATTAATTTTTATTTATTAACTTTTGCAAAGGGAAATAATCTGTACACTAAAATTCTATGCCTACTAAAAAAATGTGCTTATTATTACCCAGAATATATATATAACAATGAAACATCAGATAATTTAACTTGTCACTTCATAAAAGATTTCAAGGAGTGGCATTATACTCACATTGTCACATCCGCCCTGATGATAAACCAGCCTGAAGAGTTTGAAGAGATTGAGATCTTTATAACCCAAAACAGGTGGTTTGTTGATTGGAGTACCTTTTTAATACCAGAGTAGAAACAAAACATTTATTTAAATAAAAACATACTAACTTGAAAAGATAGTTACCAACTTCAAATTCCTTAAATTTCATTAATTGTTGTTGTTATGTGCCATTGAGTCAACTGCGACCCATAGTGACCCTAAGTACAGCAGCTCTGAATCCTGCCCTGTCCTTAGCCAGTCTAATTCTGACACATCTACCCCTATTGCTCCCGTCACTGTTTCAATCCATCTCATCTGGGTTCTTCCTCTCTTGTGCTGTCTTTCTCCACCCTTCCAAGGAAGATGTCCTTCTCCAAGGACCAGTATCTCCTGACCACATGCCCAAAGTATGTAAAACTTAGCTTCAAAATCCTAGTCTCCAAAGAGAAACTTGGTTTTACCCTCTCCAAGACAGACCTATTTGTTTTCTTGGCAATCCATATGTTCAAGACTCTTCTCCAGCACCAAAATTCAAAGGCATCAATTCTTCTTCTGTCATTCTTAGATATTGTCCAGCTCACTGATGCAGAGCAAGTAATTGTGAAGACGATGGCCTGGATTAGAAGCACCTTCGTCTCTAGTCTGACATCATTGCTTTTCAGCACTCTGGAGGGGCCCCTGACAACAGGTTTTCCCAATGCAATTCATCTTTTGATTTCTTGACTGCTGAGGTTATAAGTATTGACAAGCAAGCTGTTAACTGTTTAAGAACCTCAATCTCTTCTCCATCCATCACGGTACCACCAGATGGCCCAGTGGTGAGAATCTTTGTCTTCTTGATGTTAAGCTTCAATCCATATTGAAGACTACAGGCCTTGACCTTCTGCAACAAGTGCTTCAGTTCTTCAGTTTCAGCAAGGCTGTGTCATGTGCATACGTAGGTTGATGAGTCTACCTCCAATCCTGATACCACATTCCTCCTCATAAAGCTCTGTTTCCCGAATGATCTGTTCTGCATATAGATTGAAAACCTATGGGGCAGGACATATCCCTGACACACTCCCTTCCTGATTTTGAACCATACAGTGTTTCCATGATCTGTTCTGAGGACTGCTTAATGGTCCAAGTATGGGTTTCACATAAGCACAGTCAAGTGTTCTAGATTCCCATTTTCCTCAAGGTTAGCCACAATTTGTTGTGATCCAAGCAATGAAATGCCTTTGCATACTATTAATTTACAATTTTTTTTAGCCTTCATAGTAAGTCAAAAGATGAGCAGTTCCTATCACCCCAGTGACACCTCCTATTAACAATCCCTAGCAACGTGCTTCCATTAAAAAAAAGTCAGTCACTGAAAATCCAACAGAGCAGTTCTTCCCAGACCCACAAAGGGCTCCCTCAATCCAAACTGAGTTGACAGGAACTGGTTTTTCAGTCTTGACTTCGAATTTTATGAGAACGTCTATCCTATCATCCACACTGAGTTTTTCCTCACACTCTATTTAAATGGTTGAGACTTGAGATCAACAAGTTTACTTTCCACAAATGTGTCATTAGTAATTAAGAGATATACACATTAAGACTGGCCACATTTCAGTTTTTAAATGTTGCGGTGTACCCTCGAGTTGGAATCAACACACAGCTGACCCGCTGGCAGGTTTTTAGGAGCAGGTAATCGCATGGGAGGAGATTGCCCATCCTTCTCCTACAAAGCAGGTAGTGGCCTCAAACCACATGCCTTCAGGACTGCAGCGCAGCTTCTTGCCATTAGGCTACCAGAGCTCCCTATGTCCCAGAGAAACTAAACTTTAATCATATTCACACTACTATTTGAAGACCCATAACAATTTTCTTTTCTCCTCCTCATCCTCATAATTCTTTTTTAAATTGTTTAACAATCTGGGTTGTTGTTTTTAAATTTTCTACTAGTTTATTTACAAAATTCGAATACATTTTTTTGTGTGGTTTGTTTTTGTTTTTTTTTTAATTGGGAAAAACATATTGGGGGTACAAGGAGGTAAGGGTTGGAGGCAGAAGGGTGAGGATGGGCCAGGATGCAGTTGCAAAGCTGCACAGTTTGGTGGGGGGAGAAGGTGAAGGAAATGATGAGGGTCCAGTGGGGACCAGATGCTACAGAGGAATGACAAGCATTTTCCAATAGTAATTAAACCAACTGTCTTATTGATTTGGGAATTGGATGCCGACTCTCTGGCTTCTTCATGCTGAACAGGAGCCTAGGCTCCTGTAAAGGCGGGAAAGGAGGACGCTTTATCACCTTACTGGTGGTCTTGGCTTACAGCTGCTTGCCTTCTTGCTCTGTTAGAAGATATTTTCCTGTCATTTGCTCCCCTCTGGACTGCAAAGTGTTTTCCCAAGAGGGTCCAGTGGGGATGGCTGGTTGAACCCAGAGGCTCCATCCTCCTTTGCTTCCTTAACTGTCAGTTGTATTTCCTTTTTGTTACTGGCACTGGGTTCAGGGTCAATTCTGGAGTAAAACTCAGAGTTAAGGTTACCTATAGGAAAGGGAGCAAACCCAGAGAGAACAAACTTGTGCTTGTGAGTTACAAACAGAAGGGCTTTGAGGGTGTTGCTTTCAGGTTTACTGGGGGGAGGGTGGCAGAAGGTGGCCTAGGTAACATTCTCTGGATACCCTAGGCATTCTTTTTTTTTTTCTTCTCCTTCCCCACCCAGGGGTCAGATGGCACAATCTGGGGACTGAGGAGCTCACCCTGAGGATCGCGACGGCTTGCCCCAAGCCGGGGGCCGAGGGCAGCCCGCCCCGGGCAGAGGGCCGCAACGGCTTGCCCCGAGCCGGGGGCCGAGGGCAGTCCGCCCTGGGCAGAGGGCCGCGA